CACAGATAAGAAATGAAAAAAGGGAATAAAAGAGAGGGACAGGTGGATAGAAACCCAGTTTCCTAAAGATCACAGACTGTAGGCACGTGGACTTAAAAAACTAGTCTTTATTTGAAATGATTTTCCTGCTCATCGGCCTCAGTCTGACAACCATCACGGGAAACTGCCAGTGTTTCACAGAGTAGCAGCAACATAACCATACAGTAATTCACATGTTTGTACATAATTATTTTAAAACAACACAACCCAACATTCACATCTTTTCCTATGTACACCCAGGATTCCATGCTGAGAGCTAGTGTTTCTTCGCCTTGTCTTTCTTCTTCTTCTTCTCCTGGTATTCAACGATCTTCTTGTGAAATATTCCTGCAGGACAAAAGGACAGGAGCTCAAATCAGTTCACCGTCAAATAACATTAAGGTGTTTCAGCATGAGCTCAAGTGACAAGACTCAGACTTATTAAACTACATACTGCTGATGATAGTACGTCTGCTAATAAAAACCCCTTCCAGCTGTAACTGTTGGATGCTAACAAAGAGCAGGAACCTTGAGTAGCTTTGTGTGTTTTGTCTAATGAGTTCAGTGATGGAGGAAGGGATGCTGCGAGTTATTGTGCTGGATGAGTTCGAAAGAAGGGAAGGGAACACATCGTTTGGGCTAAATATTCATGCCTTTGTTTTGGTAAAACAAAGTTAAAACTGAGATGCCATTTGTTTCAGCTTTTATCTTAGGCTACGTCCAGACTGCAGGCTAAAGTGACCCAAATCATATTTTTTTGCCCATATGTGACCCCTTTTTACTTCCAGTTCGGTTTGGGCCACTTCCATATGTGGTCCAAATGAAGATACAGATCGGATCTTTTTAAAGTCTGAGTCTGAACACAGAATTGATGCGACTTTGACATCACTCTAAAGCAGCTGTTGTCAAAGTTCTGCTGAAGATGGAGCTGCGGTGAATGAAAAAGCTCCTCAAAAAGCCATATTTGAACATGTGGCTTTCTTCTCTACCTCACTATCATCTGCTCACAAATTCCCTTTCTTACACCTGAAATCCACCAGATTGTGAGCTCTCTTCTGAGTTACTGCATGCTACTTGTCTATGCAGACACAGTGGAAAGAGAGGGGAGGGAGAGAGTGCCTGTCCATTTTACTGGCCTGGTGTGGCTATAAATTTTGACAAATAAATGCAGGTCTCAATTAGAAGCCTGGTTTGTTCTAAGCTGCTTATAATCGCACATACAATTATGTTTAGTTTTGTCAGTATGGACACGCTACACTTCGTGAGGTCAATACAGTTAAATCTGATTTTTTTTTGTAAAAAGAAGGAAAACTTCTTTCTACAAAAACAATTCAGATTTAACTGTATTGTAATTTTTTTTTACAACTTGTTAAAATAAACAGTTTGATAGCAGCTTATTTTCTGTCTTTGCTGAGTGAGAGTTTTGTGTGAAAAGAATTAAAAGGCTGTCCCAGATATAAGCAGGGTGAGTTCAGTGACTGAAGCAAATAAAAGCCCAGGCTGTTCACTTCAACTCAAACCAGATCTTCTGACACCATGCTCTGCTCCAGACCAGCACACACTGTGTAATGCTAGCAGCAACGTGTTTGCTTATGAGAGCAGGACTTTCTAGGGCTACTGTGACCCCAGTGCAGGTGATCACATGTGATGACGCCGTCCAACGCCTGAGCTTTGCAAATGGAGCGTTCAGTGTGCAGACCGCTCTGTATGGACATGCAGCCAAGACACGACCTGCAGTAAGGGCAGACCTCCACAGCAGCCTGCCAACACAAAGTGTTCTCTACAGGTCACCTTGGATATGGGGAAAAGATGTAATGGCAAGAGGGTGTGTGATATAAACCCAAACATCTTCCGTGCTTCTGATCTCTGCCATGGCATCCACAGATATCTGGAGACCACCTACACCTGCCTCCCAGCAGCAATCTTCAGCGTAGCATGTGAGGAGTCTTCAGCAAACCTGCACTGTCCTAGAGGAAGGTTATATTTCTCTACAGTGCTTATTATGGACGCCGTGACTCCACCACATGCTCTTCCCAACGACCTGCCTCTCAGGTCCAAAATGTCAACTGCTAGCAAAGTTGGTCAAAGCTGCAACGGGCAAAGCAGCTGTGCTATCAAAGCCAGCCACTCAGTGTTTGGAGACGTTGTTTTGGCACTTACAAGTACCTGGAGGTGGCTTACACATGTAAATAATCTGGGAATTAAACAACAAAATATTGCAATGCACGGAGTCAGTGGATGACATCAAGAAGCCAATGAAACATTGAAATTCCAAATAGAGCTATAGCCAAAGGTATTTGGACACCTGAAAATGAAACTGTTGTTCACCATCTCATACCAGGCTAGTCAAGTGCACTGGGCTAAGTGTCCAAATATGGCCATATGGTTTAAATACAGTTACTCCACAAATGAATCAAATGGGAACAAAACTTGATTTAATAAGCATTTGATCAAGTAATTGAGGTTTCTGTTTTCTCCTCCTAAAATTTGCCTGAAGTAATGTTTAGCCAAGTCAGGTGTAGGCAGCTGAGCCGGTATTAGGTTGTTGCAGATATATTGTTGGCTATAACACTTACAGTCAACAATCCTTTTTGTCTGAGGAAGTGTCATCATTACAGAGTCGGTCCACCAGAGAGTGCTGTTGATTCCCCATGTTCAGGGAATCCTGTTCGTCGTCTATGTATCAATGTGTAACAGCTGACTGCACTACACTGGTCTTTGCTTCTGATTACCTGGAAAAACACAGTGGATCCTCTGGAAACATTACCACATGTCCCTGTGTGTACAGTGTGTACTAAGTACTAATATTTGTACAGTGTTTTTGCTGTTAGTATGTAAACATGTAAGTATGTTTGATTCTTGTAACAGGAAATGAAACAAAACTTCACAGAGAGACAGCTGGATGTTTCCCAAAAGGTGTAACAGTAGTTTACACATACTTCCTTTGTGCATTGCATTGTGGGACAATAGTGTCCATCATGTGTTTTAGTCTTCATACTGACTTTTTGAGTTACACAGTGTACGACATTAACATACTTTAAACCTGATTAGATTTATTGTAATGGCTGGATGTGGGTCAGCTGTTCCTCCTTCATCAGACCTCTCAATCTTCTAATCTGACTGGTCTGGGACGTAATTATTCATCTGAT